ATGTAAATAGAAGTTGGCAAACTTGCACAAAAATGCCTTGTCATCAACATGACCACTAAAACTGGAAGTTTACACCCTTAGCTTAAAGCACAAGCTGACTAAATGTTCACCACACCTCTACTCAAGTCTTATGATTTTAGTCACTGCTTAGATATGAATGAATTACACAGAACCTTTATTGAAAAAAATAATAAATATTTGTCTATTGCAGGGGTCACCAACTCCAGTCACAACTTTAGATGCATCTCTGCTCAAACACACATGGATCAAATAAACTGCTCGTTACCAGTCTATTGCAGAACTGAATGAGGAGGAGCTTTGACCTCGAAGGCGAAGCTAGGTCCAACCAGGCGTTTCGCACAGCTGAATGGTTGCTATGGAAGATTGAAGGATTTCTCAAACAGGCATAAAAGAATCAAAGGACGACTCCAGGTATGTCTTTGAGTGTTCTGGACATCTGTCCACTCAGCAGTAGGCCCATGACTGTGTGGCCTACTGACCCAGACTGAGAGACTGCTTGAAAGGCTGAGGACAAATTTTCAGGTGTTTTGTGTTCATCAACTTATTAGGGTGCAACACCACCAGTTTCCAAGAATGTCATTGTTCACAATATTCCAATTTTCTGAATCATAATCATTAAAATTACAAGAAGCAAAAGCTTGAAATATATGCCTGTCGATTCTAGATAAAATGTATGAGCTTCGCTTTCTGAGATGACGGGGAAGAAATATTGCACTTTTACGCAATATTATTTTTTTTTATGTACCACTATAACTAACAGGCAAACAAACCATAAAAACAAACTTTCAAAAATGATCCATACTTTCTTTAAAGATTAAAAAACTAACAATTAAACCCTGAAGAAAGAGTACAGAGTATTTATCAGTTAGCTTTTTAGACTTTACACATAAGGCTGACAAAAATCTCAAGACAAATGACTCATTGGCAGAAAGTGTGAGACCTATGCATCATGAGAGTGAGTAGCTCTCTGTGGTGTGGATCTTATTAGCCTCAGAGTGAATCAGCCAACATCTGTTAAACACAACACACACACTTTAGAGCTCAAAGCAATGTAGACTGGTACCTGCAGGCCGCTGAGGACCAGGCGCAGCAGCTTCATCACCTCTCTGTACTTGGTAGCTTTGGTCTGCTTAGGCAAACTCTTTAGATCTTTGGTTAGTTGGTCCAGTGACAGCTCCTCTCCCTGCTCTTCTATTAACCTGCAAAAACATACAAATATTCATAAACTTGACAAAACACTACTGATATGCAGTAAAGACCTGCTTTCAAACCTCAGAACTAATGACGCAATATGAGAAGCCTCCTTGGTCAGTGCTGCCACCTGCTGGATGGAGAGGGAAGGGCGCACCCACAGATAGGAGTAAGTTGGGCTCACAAGCTCCTTCAGGGAAGTTATGTGACCCTGTTGAAGAGAAAGCAATACATTGAATACTACTGAAGATATTATTTTAGACATGCAATGTCTTGGAAAACAATTTTAATCGCAAAATAAACTATATGCAACTCTATCTCATAAAGTCACACTAAGGTTTTCCCTTAGTGTTTTCCCACTTGATGCTCTGGCAGCCTAGATTTGATTCGGGACCAAAATTGCAACATTTGCTACATTTACAGCTGGTGCAATTTGCTTTCATGCTGCAGTGTGTCAAACAATCCAAACTTATTGAAAAACCTGTTCCCCTCCTCGCCTGTGGTGGCGCTGCACCAAGAACCACCGAAGGAAACGACAGAAAAATCTCATAAGAAGACCAATGCAGCTTCCTTCTTCACAAAACGTAAACAGAAGTGGACTATTGCCAGATTTTAGCAGTTGTAGGATCTCTCTTTCATATTTTGTAAAAGACCACAAGCTACTTCTCCTGCTAGTGCATTTATTTTGGCTCTACTGACCCAGAATGCCCTGCGCTGTAGTCCACTTCCTGCTTTTGGACGGTCTTCGGTCCGCTTGCATCCACACATGCATTTGAACCGCACCTCAGTTCACTTCAACTGAACCACGTTCTATGTTTTTAGGTGGATCAGAGTTCACTTATTTGGTCTGAAGCAGAGTTCGATTGCGCATTCACGTCTCATCAATCAAACCGCACTTTCTGGACAAACAAACTAGAATTTGATTTAAGCGGACTAAACAGGGCTGGTGTGCATGCACCCCAATGGACAATAACATTTATGATGTACAAAAGTAAATTTAGAAGGTTAAGGGATGTGAATATTTTCACAAGCCACTGTCAAAGTCAAATAAGCTGGTTACTTTAGTTACTGTGATTAAGACAGATAGTGTTGAAACATTAGCCTTTATAAATTTTGCACAACAAAGCTGAAAACTAAACTGAACGTTTGCAAGTTCGACGTCGTTCACTGAGATAGTTGACTGATACACAAAATGTTGCACAACAGAGAGTCTTGGAAGATTCAAAAAGCTTTCAGTTTCTCAAAACATACTGCTTTTTTAATAGAAAACAATACAAAAATTAATAGACAACATGTATATGAACATAAAGGATTAACTTTACGGCCTTCACGTACAATACACTACAACGGAAACAGATAAAATAGCGTACTGAATACCACCAGTCCATGGTGTACCGCTCAGTGGAAATAAAGCAAATGTAGCTGAGATTACCTTACGGAGGTGTAGCACACGTCTAATATAATTTCCTTCAAGCACTTCTTTATCCTGGATCTCTGCAGCATAAACCTGCTGGATTTGCTGCTGTAGATCTTTTATAAGCACACAACACTTCTGCTCATCTTCAATTCGCTGCTGCAGATGAATTCTGTCCAAAGTCCCAAGGAGAAACAGAGAGCAATCAATCTATGATTCTTCAGAAAAACAAAAACTTCCGGTTGAGTAATTTATTTTTAAAGAATAAGTTAAACTTTAAAAATAGCCTTTGTAATATGGTTGGATTAATTTAATACAGATTCATATGAAATTGATTTCTCCCCCACCTGTTGAACTCTGGTAGCTTCTCCAGGTCTAACAAAGCAGAGTGAGTTGTGATCTTTGAAGGATTAAACTCAGAAATCAGTTCCTCTAACCTCCGTCCTATTCGATTGGCTGTGTACATGGATAAGAAAATAATTATTACTTAAATTGAGTTAATACTGACAGAGCTCATCTTAAGTTTATTGCTACTATGGTGATCCCGAGCTGTTTTTGATATCGGATCCATTGATATCAAAAACGGATCCGATATCAGCCAAAAAACAAGTATCGGTTTATATTGGCCTGCATCTGAAATCTCCACTCTAGCATTTAATAAGCCCAAGCATTTCTACCCATCAACACTTGTATCCCGCACGCAGACTCTTTGGTTAATAATAAATAGGTCAGTTATTCTCTTACCTATTGTTTTTGACTATTGTTCTCTGAATAATATCACTTGATCATGTCTTTTCAATATTGTTATCGGCCAGTACTCAAAGCTGCGATGTCAGTATCATATCAGAAGTGAAGAAGTTGTATCGGGACACCCCTAACTGTTGCATGTCGCCCTTCGTCACTTACAGGTAAATCCAGATCCACAGTTGGTTGTGATATCCAGCAGAGCCTCAGGAAGAACCCCTTCCCTACAGAAGTTTTCAATGAATATGTCCCCCTGCCTCTTGGACAGCTTGCTGCCATCACTATTCATCAGAAGCGGCAGATGTCCGAAGGTGGGCGGCGTCCATCCCAGTGCGCGGTACATTAGGAGATGCTTGGAGGTCGAGATGAGCCACTCGGATCCTCGCAGAACGTGGCTGATCTTCATGTAATGATCGTCCACAATGTTGGCCAGGTGGTAGGTGGGGAAGCCATCTGCTTTAATCACAACTGGATCGCCCTCCACCTGAGGATAAGAAGAAACAGGTTGAAGAAATGTATTTTGGTGACCCCCAGGTTCAGAGTAATGGCATGCTGACGTTCCCAACCTACACCTTTCACGGGGAATTCCTCTCCAGACTGACCTGGGCCACCTCGTGGCGGTTCCATCCGAAGATCAGGTCCTGGAAAGGCTCGACGCCGGCTTCTAGTCGAAACCTGACCACATGCGGCACTCCCTGAGCCAGCTTCTCCTGGACCTGGTCCGCTCGCAGGTGACGGCATCTGTTGTCGTAGCTGTAGAAACAGGTGAACACTCAGTTCTGTGCAAAAATCCTGCACACATCTTTGATCCATTTTGTTTGTTCAGGAACAAATTTTCGTGACTGTTTAGGTACCGTGGTGTCTGGCCGGCCCTTAGAGCCTCTTTTTTCAGCAGCTCCAGCCTCTGAGGGCTGCAGAAGCAGTAGTAGCCGTGACCACTCTCTACAAGCTTCCTGGCAGTCTGATTGTAGAGGTCTAATCTTTGGGACTGGAGGTATGGACCGCAGGGTCCTCCCCGACGAGGACTCTCATCTGGTGGAATACCTGCAGATGGAGGTAGAGACTCGAGACTAGACTGTCCTTTATATAGTGATAAAATAAGGGTTTAAAATTGTAAAACAAGCAGAAATAGATTCCAAAATTAATGTTTTTAACTGTCTTTACCATATTGTACTAGTAATTAGAGTGGATAGCTTTGCTAAAATAGTAGTCCAAGGGTGTTTTCACACCTGATCCTCCGGTAGACTCGGTTTAATTGGGGACCAAAATTTAGCGTTTCTCCCTAGTGTATTATAAGTCTGGCGGGCCACTAGGCTTTACTTGCCTCCCCACCAGGCTAAGTGTTGTTTGTTTATTTTAAATAGGGTTTTTTATACACCAGTAACAGTGACACTAAAAGCTGGATTAAGGTAGGCTTATAGCTGACACACTGAACTGGGTGCGAGAAGGTGTGAACCAATTGTGCTGTACCTGCTTCTGTTGACCTCACAAGCTATTATTTCCAAATTATGATGCTTGATCGTCAACCTCAAAATTTTTGTAACTTTTAGCATTTTTTCCAACACAAAAAACACAGCGGGCCGCTGGTGGACTGCCCTAGCGGCCCTACCGCTGGGTTTAGATTTTTCATTTGTTATATTTTCAGCTGCTGCCGTTCGCTTTCACACCGCACTGTGTCAAACAATCCAAATTCTTTGAAAAATCTCTTACCAGCCCACTCCAACATGTCCTCTATGGACTCTGCTGCTCCTGGAACCAGCCTGCTCTGATCTGTGTCCTCCAGTCGCAGGATGAACGCGCCTCCATATTTCTTTGCAAAAATATAATTGTAGAGAGCAGTTCTGAGACCTCCAAGGTGCAAAAAGCCTGTAAACCACAGCAATCAAAAACCAGAGCATCATAGATAAGTAGATATATAAGCAGGTGGTTATTAATGAAAAAATATAGTTCTTAAATCAGACAAAAAGAGGTTTCTATAAAATTAATTTTCCAAACAGACTGGAAGTCTAAATTCCCCACATGATTACAATGCATCATGCTTTTATTAAAATAGTCTACAAACCTATTAAATGATAAAATTTTCCTAAGTAAATATCAAACTGGCTAAGTACTTCGGAAGTACTTAATTATTTCTTGATGAAAGACAATAACTTACCTAAATTAAAGTTATTGCCTTTAGTCACAAATTCATTTTGAAGATTTAGACAAAAATGATCTAATGTGCTACTTATTTTAGAAATACATATAAGCACACATAATCCGCACACACGTAAATATAGTCCATCTGCGGGAAGAATTCACAGCGCTTCACTTTTACCACATTTTGTGATGTTACAGTTGTTTTCAAAAATGGATTACATTTGCCCTCTTTCCCGGCCAAAAAAAAAGACACACAACACACATAGCACAACATAATGTCAACAAATTAATTTAATTAATTTTATAATAAGGGTGTAAAATTGCATGTGGGAAAAGTGAAGCATACTTCAACTCTTGGCACACTGAACATTATAAGCATGTTGTTTAATATGTGTACATACGATGCACAAAGAGGATGATTAAGTAACTGCTATTATCTCCCAACATAGAATAACTCCCAGTTAACTGAGGACCTTACCTGTGGGGCTGGGGGCAAACCGGACCCTCACTTCGCCCTGAACAGTGGAGCACCATCGGTACACAGCGGCTGAGTTTACCTGGGGCTCAGCCCATCTGTGTCTGACTGTTGTAACAGACTGAAACCCTCTTTGAAGAACACGACTCCGCAGAAAACACCGACTGCAGATCTTCAACCAAACCAACATGGCGGCAAAACAGTTTAATTACTAACTAATAACCAAAAAACACACACTGTGAGAGAGAACATGATCACATTTTAGCAGAATCTCCCATTTGGCTTCTATTTTCTGTCAATGTTTGAGTCAAATGTGACTAATATTTTTCTTCTTGTGCATAATACGACTGGAGAAACCACTAATGTTACCAATACTGCCATCTAGCGAGAGCGCAGCTCTCTTTTTAGCCAAGTTCATATTTTTCAGCTTCTCCCTTTAGAGGGCGCCAGAAGGCAAGCCACTACGTTGGATTAGTTTCTCTGCTGAAAGATATGGACGAAAAAAAGATTTATCAATGCTTTCAATCTTTTACTGTATTTTATTATTTCATTTGACTTCTTTCATTGAGTATCTGTACTTTCTTATACGTTGCATTCATGTCACACATTGCGGTTTTTGTTTCATTAGTTTGAAAATATCAGTGACTTATTCAAGTTAATTGGCTCAAAAGACGACTCCATGTGGTATGAGACTGGGGTTCAAAACATGCATTATTTGCTGGACTGTTCAGTAAAATGACATTTGTATTTGTACTTTTACTTAAGTGCAGTGTTTGAATACTTCCTCCACCATTTCTTTGTAGTTGTGCTACACTCCTGGTTGAGGGGCTGAACGGTGCTCTTTAAGATGTTCAACACTTGGGATTAGATATCATCATAGAACCCAAACCTGCCTCACATTTCTCTACAACATGCTTATTCTAATCTGTCTGATGTGTGTTTCTTGGTTTAACACTGAAAATCATGTTTCATTTTCCTTTCCTTTCACAGCTATGCACCACTTTGAGTTTGTCTGCCTCACGAAATCAAAGTTAAATAGAACGTGACAAAAATAAACTAACATCTGCCTCCTATTTTTAGAATATTTCCTCCTTTTAGTTCTGACATTTTACCTACAAGGGACGATATAAAGAAACAAAAAAATCTTTAGGCTTATAGTTTTCCAATGCTAAAATTCTAGTATGTCATAAATTATGAGTTTATGGAAATAAATCTAACTCTACAAAATAACTAGACCAAAGAAGCATACTTAAACTAGACTAAGAAAGAATAGTTAGACACAAGAAATAACAACTAGGAACACCAAGAAGAGCTGAACAAAAAGTAAAACAGAGACTCATCAAATGAAAGAACGAGACTGAGGAACCCAGAATAGTCAAACCTCAAAAAACCTCAAAACAACCCAGAACATAACACAGTGAGCCACTATTAACCATGTCAGGAACTGTGAGTTAAAAGTTTACTGTCATACAGACCTCAATGTATTAAGTCGTGACAGAAGAAAACCTGTTAAATTTGATTTGGGTATGCTCGCAATGTGGTGTGTATGGGTGTGTGTGTGTGTGTGTTAGTATATGTTAATAAATTTAAAGTTTCCACAAGTGCTGGGGTTAAACACATTTCCTTGCAGCCCTAACAGAGCATATCTGCATTTTTCAGTGATATGTTTACCTTTTGATGAAAGAACGACACAGACTTGTTTGAAAAAGGAAAGGCGTATAGCTCAATAAAGGCATTATCCAACACGGTCACCTGTGATCAACGTCAGACTAGTTCACCCTTATTTTGGTGTTTCTTGGGACTGCGCTGGGTGTGGTGACAGATTACTGTTCAGCATTCAGAATAAATCCAAGTGAAATCTGTTCATCTTTGAGTTTTCACATGGAATTAGTTTTAGTTTTACTTTAAACAAAGCTCAAGTAAATAAAACAGTATAAAATTCTGCTGAAGAAGACATGTAACATGAATCTCCTCACTTTTTTTTGCTTGCTTCTCTGTAGCACTGATTTGCTGAAAAGCCAGCTGTAACTGCATCGTCACATTACGTAGAATCTTAGTTTGGCTCTTCCCTCTTGAGCCACGGCCGAGGCAGCCACCTTCCTCATCTGTGACATCGTCACAAGGCAACACACCCTGCACAATTAACACTGCAGTCTCAGGTGTCAGGAGGGAGAGACAGAGAGAGACGCTCCACAGCACCCAGAGGACTCCACATACAAACAAGGTAAAAGATTTCACTCTGATTTCAGGGACTTGTTATACTTTATTTCTGTGCCAGGGATTTTCTTACAGGAGAGGTCAATGAATTGTAAACCTTGAGGGTCCACAACATGCAGTTTTTAAATGTGATCCAGCTTTCCAAAAAAGAAACAAGTGAAATGCTGATTCATGCGTGGTTCACACTGTCCGGACCGGTTATGAAGTGAAAAATTAAAAGCTCATGAAGGAGGAAAAGAAGGGAAGTACAGAAGCAGCAACAATGTGATCCTTCATCGCTTTTTTCTTATATGTAAATGCATTCAGTGCTGTGAATAAAACAGCTCAGATACTGCCTTTCAACATCAATGGCAATTTTTCCAAAAGTTATATTTATATACATATCTTTTTGTAATGGAAAGTTTGTAAGGATAATTACATCAGTATTATTTAGAGCTGTATGACTCATTAGTTGTCAATCCAAACTCTCATGTTCTCTTTAACATAATTTTATTTCCTTTCTGCAGCATTTGAACGTCTTTCATAACTTATAATTAATATGTTTGTCCTTACAGAGAATTTAGGTGTTGTTTTTTTTTAAAGTCAGCTTTACTGTTTAAAGTATCAAATTTCAGAGGTCAAATTTGACCTTTGAACTTGGGGGAATTTCTCTTTTAAATAACCTGAGTGATATTTGCGCTTTCTCTTCTGTATTTACAAACGTTTCACGGAGCAATCCTGAGTAAACACTCAGAATTAAACCTGCCTGTCATTTATCCTCACAGGCTCAACACAAGACGAGCCTTTTTGTTTTCAGAACTGTTACATTAATTGCTTCTCAATTAGAGAAAGTCACAAACAAACAAACCGATAAGTAAAAAAATAAAATTGCCTTAAAAGTCAAAATCTGTGGTATCGCCACCCAGTGATTTCTCTTCAGAGAAACTGTGTGACTGCATTCACAAACCATTTTAATTGGCATCATTATGTAAGCTTGTTAATGGACGCTGGTAAACTGTGGACATAATCTCCCATTTATGTCAGATTAATGTTAATTGTAAATTAAATACACAATCAGGGTTTAGTGAGTGAGGGGTTAAATAAGTTCAAACTGATACCTATTTAAAGGGGCTTTTTTTAAAAGAAAGAAAATATTCAATATTAGCACAATTAATAAATTATTGATCACATGAAAGCACAGAACTTAGCTTTGATGTTTAAAGCTAAGTTCCATAAAGATATCAAATATATAACTGAGGTTAATTCCATCTGATTTTTCCTTGTCAAATTGGGTTTATTTTTTTATTTTTTTATTTTT